CTCACCAACTTTGTGGAATATCTTGCCCATCCCCATTGGTTGCTGTATAGTGGTGTCGGACCCCAGGAAGAATAGTTGCTGTACGAAGCAGCAGCTACTGGGGATCTAATAAATAAATGAAATTAAATTAAATCTCCATTAGGCAAGCGACATCTGTTATCATTTTTACAAAGCTACTGAAGACTTTATACTCGACAGCTTTTAGTGTTCCTAGCTGACTTGGCAGTCCTGCTTTTTACCATTTCTTATGTCTGATTTTTTACGTAATTTTTTTTTTAATGTTTTTACTTGACTACTTATATATATTTTTCTATGTTCAGCACTTTGGGCAACATTGTTGCACTTAAAGTGTGATACAAGTAAACCTGATTTGATTTGGCTCATTTCAAGATGAAATCCCAAGATGCTTCATAAGCATAATAAATAATTTAAAAAATAAAATAAAATTAATTCAAATGAAGAAAAAACAAGGGAGTCTGACAATTTACGAAAATGATAGAAACATCAGCATGAAAATATGCTGGTGAGCAAAGTGTGGGAGGACCTAAAGATCAGCCGATCTTATGTTTATAATAGCTGTTTTCCAAAAACCAACTCAACCATACACTTTCAACCACTCATTTGTTGAGCGAGACTTAGTCAAATGCATTTTGACTCATATTTAATTTGTTACATTTTCATTACAATTGCCAGAGCACCATAGTAGGAAGGAAATCATATTTGATCCATCAAAACCTTTCTAACACAAGTCTGCTAAGTAAGTATTTTATTTATATAGCTCATCACAAAGAGAGAAAGACAAAGGGCTTCACAGAGATCAACAAAACAAAACCAAAAATAAAGTCATAAAATCATAATGATATTAAAAACAAAACAGAAACTGTAAAATTAATCTAAATCTGAAAAAACAAGTGTGTAAGGATAAAGGAAGTTCATTCCAGTCGGGGTGCAACAGCCTGGAAGGAGCGATTACCTCGACTTTTAGATCTGGTCTTTGGAACTTCTTGAAGGTTCTGATTTGTGGACCTGAGGGCTCAGGTTGGAGCATAACGCCGGGGACACACCGGCCGCGGAAGCGCCGCGAAGCGCTGCGAAAATGGGGCCGCCTTCATTCGGCGCCCTCGTTAAGCTATTCTATAGACCACATGGGCCACCGAAGCGCCGCGAATCGCCTCGCGCCGGCGCCCCAGCCCGCGCCGTGCAGCGATCATTTCGGCGTCGGCTCTATTTTTTTCGCGAGCCGCGGGTGAATCGCGTCAATTCTGGCAGGAAGTCAAACCTAGACATAAGAGGCAGGCCGGTAAAGTTAACAAAATAAAGCATTTCAAAATAAAATTCCGCAATAGTCAAATGTGTTCGTAATCAGACACTGCAGAAAAACCACACGAACACACACACACATCGAACTTGTGTGCGTGTGTGACCACGTGAAGGGGTGAGTGGTTTTGGGTGTCTTTTCACCGGAGCAAACAGGACAGAGAGGTAGAAAGTCTGAGGCAAGCAGTTAAGATGGATGACTTTAAATTAATTATGGAAGTTGAGAAACACAAGGAGCTGTACGACCCCCGAAAAACATGATTATTTACGTACCCATTTCTGAAGAAACTGCTAGGATACAGCTGCAGAATTGGAGCGGGTTCCAAGAGATTCAACTGGCAGAAACAACTCATACCATAGGTTCACACACACACACACACACACGCACGCACGCGCGCGCACGCGCACACGTAGAGGAAAACAGCTGAGAAAAGGCAGAGAGGAAACTGAGGACACCAAGTGTTTTAAAAGAAAAACTACAGCTGAGCCGATGCGCGCCTCGACTGGGGCGCGTCTGATCTGAACTGAGGAGCGGCGAGCAGCGGCCGAATTTCGTGAGCGATTCGCTTCTCGGCGCTTCGCGGCGCTTCCGCGGCCGGTGTGTCCTTGGCGTAAGGCTTTAACAGTTCAGTAATATGAGGAGGAGCTTGACCATGAAGAGCCCTGAAAGTTCACTTGGACATTGGTCTAAGGAAGTCTAATTCCTGCATGTCACAACCATAGATAACCAACCATCCATGCTGTGGAAAAAATGAGACTCCTCAGAGGTAGAAGATCACATTTCCACTGGAAAAATAGACACACACTCACTGTAGCTCCTAGCTACTTATACCACTTGTTGACTGTTATTGGGTCATGTTAAGCTTCTGCCCTTAAGGCACTTCTGTCAACTGGATCTGAATGTTTCACACTTTAATGCTACACGTTCTTTTGAGAAAATAAAAACTTCAACTGTATTGATTTTATATTTTAGAAAAGATGCATCAAGCCTAAAAGAGCGAGCATTTATTTTATGTATAAATTAGGTTGAGGAGACTATTTTAAACACCAAATACTCAAAAATTGGAAGAAAGAAAAATCATGACAGCTCTTGGGATTTTATTCAGAATCTCATTTCAAATATTTTCTTTTCTTTAAAATGAATTTGACTTATTTGACATCAAATTGTGCAAGTAAAAGGAGGTGGTCACATTGGTATATCAGCTCAGAGGACAAGTTCCATTTAATGCCAGTAATACCTGCTTGATATAGTAATTACATAGTGTTATCTAAACACTATATCATAACTGTGGGTGGAATCAACTGATTCAAACCAATGGGACTGTTGTTTAGAAAACATAACATTAATTTCCATCTCTATGCTGACGATTGTCAGCTGTATATGACTGTTAAACAGGGGGCCAGAGGTATCATACAGCAGCTGGTGAATTGCCTGTATGATGTTGCCCAATGGATGGGGTCCAACTTCTTTTCTTTAAATGAGGGAAAAACTGAAATAATAGTTTTTACTCCAAATGACCACCAACCCCATGGATTGGACCTTTCATCGTTGCTCCCTTACGAGAAGTCCGTGACTGTGGACTTGGGTGTCAAGACAGACTCTGGTCTACGATTTGATAGTCAGGTGAACTCTGTTGTTCATTCGTGTTTTTATCAGTTAAGGCGCTTATCTAATATTAAGTCGATCTTAACAAAACAGGAGTTGAAAACTGTAGCCAATGCTTTTATCATCTCTAGGCTAGAGTACTGCAACTATATCTATGCTGGCTTGAGCCAGTCCTTAATGACTCGGCTCCAGCTGGTCCAAAACGCTGTTTCCAGATTTCTGTATGGAGGACATAAGTGGGGACATGTCACTCCCCTCCTGGCAACTTTGGACTGGCTACCGGTGAAGAGTTGCATCTTGTTAAAAATCCTGGTCCTTGTTTTTCAATCCCTGTCTGGATCAGCGCCACCTTATTTAGTCTCCCTGCTGACCCGTTACGTCCCTGCAAGATTGCTCGGGTCAAAGTGACCTTTTGGTGGTACCGCGATCAAAGCGCAAGTCTAGGGGTCTAGTTTGCAGTTCTGGGTCCTCGGCTTTGGAACCAACTCCCACAAGAAATCAAATAGTCCTCATCACTGCCCACTTTTAAAGCAAGGCTTAACCTGTGTTTTAGATCTGTTTCTTAGTTGTTTTTATTCACATTTTAATGTTTTTGATCACTGTTTTTATTGTTTTTAGCTCTTTTTTGGTTTTTAAATGTTTTTATCTTTGTATATTATTATAGAGCTGTTTTTTTGTGCTGCTTCTTTTCACTATGTTCAGCACCTTGGGCCCCCTTGATTGGGGGTGGGAAAGGGCTTTATAAATAAATTGATTGATTGATTGATTGATTGATTGATTGATTGATTGATTGATTGATTGATTGATTGATTGATTGATTGATTGATGATTGATTGATTGATGATTGATTGATTACAGAGACAATTTTATATTTTAGTTGCAGTTTTTGGGAGTTTCTGATATTCAGACTACAGATTTTAATACCCTTCTTGTACTCTCTGCCACACACAAAACATCCTGGATGCTCTTTGTAATTTAACCTTTAAACGGTTGAACTGTTACATTAAAAATGTCATCTAGCTACAAGTTTATTTCCATGTTTAATCATTAAAATAGACTGCGAGTAATTAATGTAATAGGGAGACTTTTATCGGATTTTGTATTGATCATATTTTGGATTAATTACAGTAAACCAGCAATCTGTATCAATATAACAAACGCAAATTGTCTTTGTAAATACATCACATGGAAATTCAAGTGGACATAAGTTCTGACAAGCTAAATTTATAACTTTTTAAAATATCGATGCACAAAACGAAGATAAAGCAGGAATTTCTTGTAATATAAAACATTATTACTGACCATGCAACTGTCATGGTCTGGTTCTGCATCTCCCTCATGTGTCTCCTTGTGTGCATCCCTCCTCATGTGCCTCCCTGTGGTTCCCCAACCCCCTCCAGGCTTTCCCTCACATTTTCCCTTAGTCACCTCACTTATCATTAGTCTTCTGTTAGTGTTTATCTAGTCATATTCTCCCTTTAGTTCATTCTGTTCCCTTCCCCATTGTTAGGTCTGGTTTCCTCCCCTACTCCATTGTGCTCCTCCTCTCTGTTAATTAGTCTCACCTGCGCACAAATAATCACCCAGCCCTTGTGTATATAACCCTGTCTACGTCTCGTGTGTTGTTGGTCCATTGTTTGTGTCAACGTTGTCTCGTTCCTTCTGTTGGTCTCTTGGTATTAGGAAATCTCTAGGTCTCTTGGTTTTTGGATATCTCCAGGTCTGCTCTTTAAAGGAGCACTTGGTCTCTAGGTCTCTAGGAATTACACATTAGGATTTTTGGATTAATGTTTTTGGCTTCCCGCCCTTTTTGGAGTTTTACTTTGGACGTTTATCCCTAATAAAGGACTTTACTTTTTTCTACAACTCCTGCCTCGTGTCATCCTGGTTACTGCATCTTGGGTCCTAACCTCCTCCTGGCTCACAGCGTGACAGCAACATGGATGTAATCCAACAAGTTACTCCTTGTAGTCACTATTGATGTCAAACCAAATGTCAAAATTTGTCAGTCGATAATTTATATTTAGACTAAAGTTGTTTATTTTACCACAAAGGCTACAGTGAGGTCAAATTTACAATACTTTCGTCACGTGTGATCAGCTATTAAATTTTTCTTTAAAAGTGTGCACCCAGATTCCTAATTATAGGGCTAGTTTGTTGGAGAGCATTCCAGCTCATTATGTGGTCATTTGTTTATTTCCCAACAGGGAAATAACTTGAAGCGTATCTGCCAACTTGTCACGGTTGTGCATTAACGCAGACTTGTTTCAGAGGGAGAGGGAGAGGCTGTGGTGCTGGACTGAACGCAGCTTTCTAGTGACGGAGCTGTAATTTGAGAGTAGCACAGAGGTAATATTAGTCAAAACGCGGCGCATCCAGATGCTGCGTTTGAGGCACCAAGCAGAGTCGGGAGTTAGCGGCGCTGAGGCAAACTGCGCTTCTTTTCCACCCGCCAACTGTGATGCGCGCGGGCACGCTGGATTAAAGGAGCAAGAGAGAAGCTATTAAAGCAATTTTACGCCATTTCTTGTTTTTTTCAGGGAGACGAAACCCTGAGGCGGACTTTTAAGCTTCAAACCTGAGACGCAGTTTGGACACCGAGACCTATTTGCGCTGAGATGAACTAGTTCAACTTTCTCAAAACATTTTAAAACTTATTTATTCACCTTTATTTATTTTGTTTGTTTTCGTGCACGTGGGACAAGCGGGGAACTATGTTTTATATTTATTTGCTCTTATTAAGTGAGGGGATGCTGTCATTGCCCGTGTCTGGAGCCTTTTTCCGGGGACCGCTACATCCGGAGATGTCCAATGGCACTTTTCATCATTACTTTGTGCCGGACGGTGACTACGAGGACAACGACGACCCGGAGAAATGCCAGATGCTTTTTAAAATGACCGACGAGCGGAAGTGCAGCCTTGACGAGGATGACTACTCCGTCATACGGGATGATTTCACTCTCGTCAAGAGGCAGATTGAGGACTCGGCTCGGGTGCTGGGGGGCATCGGCAAAAGCATCTCCTATGACCTGGACGGGGAGGACAGCTACGGGAAGTACCTGCGGAGGGAGACGACCCAGATCAGTGAGGCGTTCACGAGCTCGGAGAAATCCCTGCTGGAGCTGGAGGTGAAGTTCAAACAGAGCCAGGAGAGCGAGCTGAAGGAGGAGCACCGACTCAGTGACGACTTTGTCAACATGGTCACGCACACACGGGACGTCCTGAAGGAGACGGTGGACATCTCTCTGGGTCTGAAGGACAAGCACGAGCTGCTGTCTCTAATCATCCGCAGCCACGGCACGAGACTGAGCCGACTGAAGCACGAGTACATGAAGCTCTAAAAGAAAATAGTCCCTAAACGTCTCATGGTAGCACTATTAAAAGTTATTGAATTTCATGGAGGGATCATGTGACCCAGAGGTAAATGTTCTCTAGGATTATAAAATTTAAACATTAAAGGTCAGTTCACTTAAATATATTTGTATTTGTCAGTAAAGATTTTGGTGTATTTCCCTTCATTTGGAACATTACATTTATGTTAGGATAATAAACTGGGTGCAGTTTTGTTACTTGATCTCAGGGTTCTGTTTTCCTAAAGCAGCCGCATGTCTGTTATTTCCTAATAATATATTTTTGTTCATGTTCCTGCATTAATTTGTGTTTTATAGAGAAAAAACACATTTAATACAATGAAACAACCACATTGAGGCTTATTTACAGGCATCACTATTAAATAACATGCATAAGATCCTGGGCATAGAGATAGCTAACTGTCTAAAATCAAATGTTACACTTTATTTTTGTGGTATTGTATTAGACTTCTAGTCTTTAAATGACAGTATCCACACAAAAGTTTGTGTTAGGAACACGATTTACTTAAAAAACAGTTATTATATGTAACAAATTACCAACATCAATGTTGAAAGATTCTAAATTCATCCATTAAAAAAGGAGCAAAATGTCTATTTAAGGTATTTTTTCTGTAAAAAGAAAAACAATGTCTAGTTCTACATTTTATTAAAACACAAAGTTGTAATAATTTTTGTTATAAAATTGGGGCAATTTTTTTTTGTGATTGAACTATAAGCTGTCTTACACTAATCAAACGATTAAAAACGAGAGTTTTGACTTAACAAAACAAAAAATACTTTAGTGAGAACTGAGTAAAAAAATACTGAAATAATTTTTTGTCTCCATATTCTCTTCTGAATACAGTTTTTATGATTTGGACTAAACAAATTCACAATTTGTTTTCCTCTTTAACGTAAAATAAATAAAACTATAATTATTCTTCTTTGACCCACAAGATGAATGTTCTCAGAAAACCGAACAATGTTTACATGCGGTCTTATGGATCTGTCGTAATTATGTCTTGCTTTGTTTTATAGACCAACAGACTTTGCACAATTCTTTACTGTTCCATTGCAAACGATTGTGACATGTTTTAAAAATGCAAAACCTTCTCCGTGCAGTTTTGCACAAACATAAAAACATTGTAATATGGAGTAAATACTGTGAGCGCCAATATCTTTATTACTGAATCCTTTTATCTGTATTTTTATTATACAATCTTTCAACTCAAGGAGCATATCTATATCCTTGTTTATCTTTAAGATATATGACCAGATGTAATACGTTGATGGAAAAGACTGCAGGCAGCACTCGTGTCATTTTGTCTCAAAGTTTTATCAGTATGACACATTTATTAAATTGTATTGTGACTTTACAAATAAAACAATTGTGTTCAAAGTACAGTATTTCGGGTTTCAACTGGGATCAAAGCCTTTGCCCCTCCAGTCATTCTTGTGTTCACCCAGTACTTTACTATACCCAAGTGACAGTAACCCATTCATTATGTTGCAAGGAATTCCCATAGAGGAGATCTTTGGCCTGTGTTTTGTATAGCAGACCCCACAATGTGGCAGTAGCACTATAATAATTGGGAGTGCATAATATATTGCCACGTGCAAATTACAAAGTTCCCCACCATGTTTGCTTAACAAGGTTTTGAAGTCTGCTATGAATTATACTCAAAGGCACTGGCCTCCTAATTATAAGAGCTTTGAAGAAAGAAGCAGCTTATCGGTATTTATGAGGAACGCAAATGTAAGGGTGTGTGTGTGTTTTAGGTGGCGCCTTACACGATACCGTGTGTTGCAAACAGTATTTTAACCCGTGAAGGTCACCAGTCATGCAGAGCAAACACTCTGACAATTTGAAATAATACAAAAGGAATTTCACAACTACCGGTATGCAATTTGTCAGAGAAAGGCCAGCTGTTGTAAGTTATGTAACACTGCAAAGGGCTGTTTAACTCCCAGAGACTTTGCACTCAGGATGAAGCAACATATTCAGCTGGGAGACCTTTTACCTATTTCACATATTTTCACAGGGAAGATCTGAGTTTGTGATGAAAAAGTCATATTTCTGACATCTTTGACGGGATATGTCTACCTATTTCTGATGCAGAGAAACATTAATCCTAATGTAACTAATAAGTCTAGTTTTATCCATACAAATTATTTCAAAAGGGTTTAAAGTTTAGTGCAAATACACGAACTTGGAAGTCTACGTCAAACAGCACCATACAGATGATTGCTTTATATAAATATTTCCTTTTTGTGACTTGTTTCCTGGATGGATCTGGTGTGTAAGGCTGCCTCATTACCATTTGGGAGATACAGTGTACATACAGTACATACATAGTTCAAAGTCCACAATGACAAGCATGCCAAGTGTGCAAAGGCCTTTGAAACGTATGTCTGCTATGTTATAAACACGGCAAATGTGTGATCTTTGGTTAATAATTTCAAAATGATCCTTTTAAAAATCAAAACTGCGATAGTGAAATAGAGATAGAGTCACCCTGGACAAATATAAATGGTGCTCCCTGAACCCTTACAAGAGAAGAAGAGCTTCACTGAAAGAGGTATGGCAACACACACCGAGATGAGATCGATGTTTTACCAATACTTTTGTGACAATCCAACACAAATAATCTAGACTTAAATATAAAAATGGGTAGACATCGATTCAGTTTATAAAAAAAAATGTTCAGACTTTTTGGATGCTTAGATTAACCCATGGTGAGAATGGTGTCACATCCCATTTCAAACATCTGCAAAACACGTTTTGGAGTCATATATTGAAGTTTGACAACTCCAAGTGACATCCTATACATTCATATATCGAAACTCCTTTCATTTATTTGCTTTAATTTATGTTTTCCTACATTTTGATGTATTTATTTCAATCAGTTTTCTATTTCAAAAGGGTTTGGGTCCTTAAGGGTAAAAACATACTGAAATTGGGTCTCTACTGCACAATATATAGCACAGGTGTTTTCATAAATGAAAAAATTCAAGTGGATTGACCCTGAACACACTGGTGCTGAACAACATAGTTTAATGTTCCAGTACAGTCTTAACCCTCTCAGGCTCATAATAAGTTTTGATAAAAGGACGAACAACTAAGTCTTTCAGGGGTACTTCTGAGTTAAAAAATGCTCATGAAGTACGTATGTGGAGTAACCAGATGGGTAGGTTTTAACGTTGCAAATCTGCAACGCCTCCCTCCAGAGGGTTAAGGTAAAGAATGCAGACAGATGAACCATTTGTTTGGTAGAGACGCCACTCTGAATGAAAAATTAGCTCTCAATCATTTCCTGCATCTGTTAATAAACGTTTGCATTGCCTTTTCCATGAAGAGTTGTAAAAATCAATAGAAGGTTATATGTAAAAAAAAAAAACCTCATGTGTCTCATGGAAGGATGTGGAACCAAATCTACAGTTACAGAGCTGTCTGAACACAGGAGGAGAGGATTATTATACATTTATTGTATATTAGTATTTGTTTCAGCAAATAAGTACCACAGTAGCAATCATTTTACTGTATTGGTCCCAGAAGACCAGGAAGTACTTTCTGTTTCAAAAGTCTGAAAACGTTCTTATCCATATAAAATTTGAACTAAAACAGTTTGGTTATACTGAAGAATTAAAAGAAAAAAATTTGAATTAGAAAAATTGACACAATGTTGAGTGTGTTTTGTAGGCTGTTGGTTGTTTCCTAAATATTCTGTTTATTTGATAAATCACAGTATCATACATTTGACGATTAAATATGCTGTGTTATAATTTGTGTTGTGTTAATCTTTTAAGTATTTCTTGCATATGTTTATACTTGCCTTTATTCTTTCTTTTTGTTCTTCTTTGCTCTTGCTGTGAATGTGTTTGCTGCTGTGACACAAAATATCCCCAATGTGGGACAATAAAGGAATTTTCTATTCTATTCTATTCTATCTTTGACAGATGGTCCTTGATTCTTAATGTTCAAGTTATACTACAGCCTATTGTAGCCCCAAATTTTTTACTTTTTGTTTCCATTTCTATTTTTCTTTCGTAATTTGTCATCATCTCACATTTATCTTGAATGATCACTTATGTATTTTTTGTTCGTGGTTCATATATATATATATATATATATATATATATATATATATATATATATATATATATATATATTTCCATGCAAGTGATTTTTTGAGTCTAGCATCAAATAGAAAAAAGGCAGCCTCCAAAACTCAAGGTACCAGTCAGAGCAACCAAGAGGAGACATCATAGGGATGCACATTTTCCTAATTTCTCTTAATCTTTTTATTCATCCAGTCACTGGAAAATTAAATGTTCATATTTTTAGAGTTTTTCCACGAGGTATTATTCAAGCTGCTCCGTAGTTGGCTCTCTTTATGTTTTTGACTGCGCTATGGTGATGCTATTGACGGAAGAGGTGTCCTGACCAATCACAAGCTTGCGTTCTCTGTCTCGTTCGACGGATGTTCAGAAAAGTGGTCTCGATTCCATCCGTCCTTGCGAGCCTGCTGGAGAGCCCTTGCAAGGACAGATAATGGCGTTGCATATCTCTGTACTGATGGAGAAGCATAAACTAGGCTTGATGGTCTCAAAGAACATCAGTTCCCACCGCTACAATCTCAACTAAATTCTATAGCAAATCGTACAACCTCAATTTTCAAAAACTGTTTTTGCAGCCAACAATTTTAAAGTTCACAGTTGTTACAACAGGAATATCATCTCTGGGGGAAGTTTTACTCACTGAACATAAAGTAATACAAAGAGCTGCTAAATTATCTTGCAAACAAACCATTTTACAAACCATTTCTTCCTGTTAAAAGGGAGTTTTCCTCTTTACTGTCGCTAAATGCTTGCATAGTATGAGGATTGCAATTTGCTGGGTTCATTATATAGGGATTTTTTTTTTCTGATTGGCTTAATGAACTGACCTGTATTGGAATGTTCACCATATGAAGTGCCTTGAGACGACTCTTGTCGTGATTTGGCGCTATATAAATAAACTTGAATTGAATTCTACATGAACGTAAAGCAAAATGTGTAAAGGTTTATACTACCATGTTTTCATAAATCACAGACACAAATTTTAAGTTAAAATTTTTTCAAGTAATCTTGTTTGGCGTTGAGCCCCACCAGGACTAACCGTTATCTAATATATCCTGTCAGAACTGTTCCTTGTTTCATCAAACTGAGGTTGTTTATCTACAACACAGAGACATGCTTTTCAAAATGGCTTAAAGAGCCGTTTCTGGGGTGCTGTACAGTAGCATTATGAAACAGGTTGTATTCTTTATCAGCTGGAGCTGGCCCAGAACAGAAAGCAAAGATAAGTTTACACACGTGTGCTCACTGTGTTCTTCCTCTCGGTTCGACCTTTCGCCTACTTTCCTTCTCACACTGAAAACTCGTTCGCTCGTCGGGCTCACTGTTATTAGAGGTAACGTGTGTTCTGGTAAACATTTTAGTGTGTTTTTTCCGAAGTTTGTGGCTTATTAAACCCCCGAATCCGTAGCAAATGAGGTGTTTGTGTTATGGCTAGCTTGAACACGGAATTCCGGATATAGCCGCTAAACCGGCCGGCTTGTTAGCAGCCCGGTTAGCTAAACCGCTAGAGGGGCTAACGTAATAGAACAGAGCAGCTGACGCTAATCACCGTCATTTACTGTTGTGTTTAAACGCCTCACAACTTTAACACATCATTTAATCTCAAACCCTGTAGAAATCTGCTAATCATCATTGAAACAGTGTGTTAAATCTCGGAAACATCATGCAGGAAACCCTGTGACCAGCAGCAGCAAGTAAAACATGCTCCTTTACAGCAACTATCGGATTATTGAAATGTACTTACATTGTGGATCAAATACTGTGTTTTTGAGATGATCACTAGGAGCTGTAAGAAAGAAACAAACAAGAAAAACAAGTGTTTTGACAGTTTAATCAGCATAAACACTATAAATACCGACCATATTCTGAATTTAAAAGAAAAACATGAATTTGGTATTTTTTGACATTAGTTGGCTTTAATATTCCAAACTAAACTACAGTAACCTTTTTACACAGGCTGTATTTGTAACTAGGGTTTTTTTTAAATTACTTGCACCATACCTTTACCATAAAGTTATCAGAAGAGTGTATTCTAAGGTGCTGTGTGAAAATATAATTTTGCTGGATTAATTTCACAACTGAAAACATGACTGTGGAAGTGGTAGGGATGGCAGAGGTGTGTTAACCAGGACTGCATTCCACTTAGGAGTTATGCTCCTTTGCATTTTTAAAGAGCTCAATGCACAGCTGCAGGAGTGGAATGCAGCCCTTCTTAATACATCTGCACCATCCCTGCTCTTTCAAGGAAAGAGAATTAAGGCTACTGAAAAGAAAAAAGAAATGAAAGGTTATTTGTGTGTGTGTGTGTGTGTGTGTGTGTGTGTGTGTGAATATACAGACTTTTCCACACAAATATGTTACAAGGTATCACCGTATTAGGTTTCATTTACCCAATTCTACATTTTTAACTTGGTTTTTTTTCCACAGAGTTGTTCAGTCTTCCAGGTGCAAACATTCGGGAATGTGGATGAGCATGTTTGCACGTTTTGCCCTGCCTGTGCTGCAAAGGAACATCTCTTCACTAACCTACAAGGCCCTGAGGGCTTGTTGTAGAATTGAGATGACTGCCACTGCCCCATCCTCTATCATGCCTTCATTGCATATCCGTGGACATCAGACACTCGGTTCTGCTTCCCTCCCATTGGCTCGTCACTCAGTGAGGCACGCTCGGGCTCTGGATGAGGAGAGGCTGTTGGAGGTGGAGTGGGAGGATGGAGGCCAAAGTCTGTATCCGTTCACCTGGCTGAGAGACAACTGCCAGTGTCCACTGTGCACGCTGAAGTCTGCGCAAGCCCGTTTGCTTCTGCTAGCTGATCTTGATATTCATACAGGAGTGGATGTTGTGGAAGTCTCCAATGACAACAAGGTATGCTGATGCTATAATCTGATGTATTTGTACACAGACACAGTGTGAGTAGAATACAGTGTTTTTATTGCCATTGCATGCAGCAACATTTGAGATTTCTCAACTATTATATTGAACCAATTATTTCATACAACAAAGAATTGTAAATGGTCTGTGTTTGTATAGCAACTTCTTAGGTTTTATAACCCCTCAAGGCACTTCATAACACAATCAGTCATTTAGCCATTCAGACACACATTCACACTCTGGTGATGAGCTACGATGTACCCATAGTTGCCCTGGGGCGGACCGAGACGAGTCCTGCCAAACACTGGTGCCACTGGTCCCTTTGACTACAACCAGCATGCAAGGTGGGAAAGTGTCTTGCCCAAGGACTCAACAGCAGCATTACAACCAATAAAGAACATATTGATAAATACAATAAAGGGAAAAACGGAATAGAAATTTTAAATATATACAAAAGATAAAAAAAACATGTGAAATGCATAAAATGTTGCATATATGAATTGAAGAGGAACATTGCACATTATCATGGTCATGAAAGTCAAATGAGTTACGTATGTACAGGTCCTCAAAAAAGTAGCATATTGTGATAAAGTTCATTATTTTCTGTAATGTACTGATAAACATTAGACTTTCATATATATTAGATTCATTACACACAACTGAAGTAGCTCAAGCCTTTTATTGTTTCTAATATTGATGATTTTGGCATACAGCTCATAAAAACCCAAAATTTCCATCTAAAAAATTAGCATATTTCATCCGACCAATAAAAGAAAGTGTTTTTAATACAAAAAAAGTCACTCTTCAAATAATTATGTTCAGTTATGCACTCAATACTTGGTCAGGAGTCCTTTTGCAGAAATGACTGCTCCAATGCGGCATGGCATGGAGGCAATCAGCCTGTGGCACTGCTGAGGTGTTATGGAGGCCCAGGATGCTTCGATAGCAGCCTTAAGCTCATCCAGAGTGTTGGGTCTTGTGTCTCTCAACTTTCTCTTCACAATATCCCACAGATTCTTTATGGGGTTCAGGTCAGGAGAGTTGGCAGGCCAGTTGAGCACAGTAATACCATGGTCAGTAAACCATTTACCAGTGGTTTTGGCACTGTGAGCAGGTGCCAGGTCGTGCTGAATAATGAAATCTTAATTTCCATAAAGCTTTTCAGCAGATGGAAACATGAAGTGCTCCAAAATCTCCAGATAGCTAGCTGCATTGACCCTGCCCTTGATAAAACACAGTGGACCAACACCAGCAGCTGACATGGCACCCCAGACATCACTGACTGTGGGTACTTGACACTGGACTTCAGGCATTTTGGCATTTCCCTCTGCCTAGTCTTCCTCCAGACTCTGGCACCATGCAAAATTTGCTTTCATCCAAAAAAGTACTTTGGACCACTGAGCAACAGTCCAGTGCTGCTTCTCTGTAGCCCAGGTCAGGTGCTTCTGCTGCTGTTTCTGGTGCAAAAGTGGCTTGACCTGGGGAATGCGGCACCTGTAGCCCATTTCCTGCACACCTATACACGGTGGCTCTGGATGTTTCTACTCCAGACTCAGTCCACTGATTCTGCAGGTCCCCCAAGGTCTGGAATCGGTCCTTCTCCACAATCTTCCTCAGGGTCCGGTCACCTCTTCTCATTTTGCAGCGTTTTGTGCCACACTTTTTCCTTCCCACAGACTTCCCACTGAGGTGCCTTGATACAGCACTCTGGGAACAGCCTATTCGTTCAGACATTTCTTTCTGTGTCTTACCCTCTTGCTTGAGGGTGTCAGTGATGGCCTTCTGGACAGCAGTCAGGTCGGCAGTCTTAGGGCCATGATTGCGGTTTTGAGGAATGAACCAGGCTGGGAGTTTTTAAAAGCCTCAGGAATCTTTTGCAGGTGTTTAGAGTTAATTAGTTGATTCAGATGATTAGGTTAATAGTTCGTTTAGAGAACCTTTTCATGGTAGGCAAATTTTTTGAGATAGGAATTTTGGGTTTTCATGAGCTGTATGCCAAAATCATCAACATTAGAAACAATTAAAGGCTTGAACTACTTCAGTTGTGTGTAATGAATCTAATATATATGAAACTCTAATGTGTATCAGTACATTACAGACAATAATGAACTTTATCACAATATGCTAATTTTTTGAGAAGGACCTGTAGGCCTATGTATAGTGGAGTGGGGGATGGACTTACCTACTGCACTTCAGGTTTGTGTTATTTGTGGAAATAAAACATCAACAATTCTGAGCAAACAGAGTCAGTGGTAGAAACACGTTGCTGTTAGCCCATTAGTGGCGAGACGTCCAAATATCAGGAAGTATGACTCCAAATCCGATCATCTGAAGCCACTTTCTCCTCCAGCTGACTTCTACATCCTTAAACTGGCATACCAGAGCCGCCCCCCCCCCCCACACACACACACACAAACATTTGCCCTCGCTCTATAAATATTAACACGTTTTTCCGTCTACTCTTTTTAATATAATTCTGACGAGCAACTAAAGTCCCATACTCGTTACAAAAAGTAACGAAAGAGTGGGATCCCAGCTGAAATATCCGTCAAACTCAGAACTTGTTGCACAGCAGACCATCTGACATCAAATACACAGCGCTGCTTGCATGCTTATAAGCACATTCTGGAGGCCACGGTTTTTAAAAAAGCACTTTAGTTTCTTTACATTGAACTGAATAATTACACTGACATTTCTTTATTTTACTAGACAGGAGTCAGATGCAAGCAGGAGTTGTCATGGCACAATGACCTGTTGCTGGTCTCGGTTCAGTTTGCTGCGCCATGTTCTGCCAGGCTCAGCGCTTTGATGTGAGGCTTATTGTGTTCCAATACTGAAATAATTAAGTTCCATGTTGTCGTTCTTTTTTAAAACACAGAAACGGTTTTATTACCTGTTATTGACGCTACAGCTTCGCCGACGGCTGCCGGCTTTTTCAGGCTGACGCTGATGGTGGCGTCACTTCCTTCTCCATTTATCTGCGGGCAGCAGAGGACGCTGTCGCCCTCTACTGCCCGCTCTCCCCTCTCCGACGATGCAGTCCCATGCGTGGTCCAGCGTGTAAACTCCGTCGTCCCTGTTCATGGTCCCACATCCACGTCTCCTTATCTCGATTGCTTCCTTGATCCAAAAGAAGAAGCAGAAAGTACAATAAAAAAGTCAGCTGTAACAGATCATTGCTTAAGAGAAAACCATATAATGGACTGGGACAGCACACGGATCATAACCACCGAACAACAAAAATACAAAAGATGGATCAAGGAAGCAATCGAGATAAGGAGACGTGGATGTGGGATCATGAACAGGGACGACGGAGTTTACACGCTGGACCACCCATGGGACTGCATCGTCGGAGAGGGGAGAGCGGGCAGTAGAGGGCGACAACGTCCTCTGCTGCCCGCAGATAAACGGAGAAGGAAGTGACGCGCCACCATCAGCGTCAGCCTGAAGAAGCCGGCAGCCGTCGGCGAAACTGTAGCGTCAATAACAGGTAACAAACCCGTTTCTGTGTTTTAAAAAAGAACGACAACATGGAATTAGAAATAACGCACAGCAAGAACACACCTAAGATGAAATAATTAAGAATAAACTGCTCCCACGCTGTGCTATTTTCTAACCGCTTCATGTTTGAGCACATTTGTTTGGTCATGTGTCAAGCTCATTTCTTCTTCTGTGGTTGTCCATATATATTACACCCAAGTGCAGCAGAACAACTTGAAGAATTTAACCGGGCAAAACCATTTTACCCGGTTACAACATTAACAGCAAATAACCGGATAACTACGTACATCCCTATATAGTTATAAAGTATTTGGAACATAAAATGAGTTAACCATGAAAACTGTTGTAGAAGAAGAAGAAAGAATTTGGAATTGAAACCACAAATGTAACTGTAAGGAAAAATTAAATCAATAGTTTTGTCTCTCCTCAGGTTTCAGTCGTGTGGCCTGACCAGCACATCAGTGTGTTTGATGCAGAGTGGCTGAAAAAACGCTGTTTCTCCACCGCTGCCAGACAAGCAATGCAAGAGGAGCTTTTCCTCAACAGTGAGTCTAATTTTATGGATTTCATACGTCTAATGTGTAAATCTTTACCTCTGCTAGTGTGGTTGTCCCCACTCTAAGTGTGTTGCTTGTCTCATGTTAAAGTTGTGGACAGTTGCAAACAAATGGACAAATACAGTTTGTTTGGAAAAACTGTCCGGAGAAAACCTCTTTGGTCTGACAAGAAGATGATAGCACCAGACATGATGAAAGTGGAGATGCTTGGCCGTTGTCCATTGCACGATAATAATAGAAAATCAGACACACTATATCAGCACTAAACCAGCTGTCGGCATGGAGGTGGAGGGGTGATCATTTGGGCCCAGGCAGGTTCATGTCATTGAGTTGACTGTGAACTTTTATGTGTACTGAAATTTTTATGGTCTTTTATCAGTTCATAAACTAGTGAAGAACCTCTAGTGAAGAACATAATAGTGGAGGGGAAAAATTCAGTTGAAGGTCGTATCTGAACCTAGAGTTATTGAGCTATACAAATGCCTGTAAAGATCTATAAGCTGAAGCTATAATTTAAAGAAAAATGGGCTAAAATCCTTCAGTAACAATTTACAAGACTTTTGAGGTCATGCACAGGATACATCCTTGGAATGTTTGGTCTTAGTTTTAGAAACTGAAAGAAACACACTACTTCTGAAATTGTGAATATTATGTTCATTTCATTGACTGTTGTATGTACACACACACACACACACACACACACACATACACACACACACACACACACACACACACACACACACACACACACACACACACACACACACACACACATATATACATATCGTATTTTTCGGACTATAAGCTGCCACTTTTTTCCCACGCTTTGAACCATGCGGCTTATAATGAGGTGCGGCTTTAGTCAACCAGAAAGGATGGATGCTGGAAAGTCTAATGAAGGAATGGTTAAAGGAGTGCTACGGAAAGCGTCCAGGAGGATTTTTTTCACAGTAAAACGGCGCTGCTTGTTTTCCCAGCTTCACCCCGGGATGATGACAGCAACACGGACAGCGACACTGACATCGCCACAGAAAAGGTATGTGACGAAGCTCTTCTGAGGCTGTTCAACTCCGACACTGAAGAAGATGACTTCAGTGGTTTCAGTGCACAGGAGGACAATGAATAAACTAATCAATAACTTTTCTGTTTTGTTTGACACTGATCAGTTCAGTTACGTTCAGTTAAACTACGTTTTCAATTCAGTAGACATCTGCGGCTTATATTGAGGTGCCCTCTATAGTCCGGAAATTACGGTGTGTATATATATATATATTTCTAAACTTACAATATAATAAGATTCATGTATACAGGTCCTTCTCAAAAATTAGCATATTGTGATAAAGTTCATTATTGTCTGTAATGTACTGATAAACATTAGACTTTCATACAACTGAAGTAGTTCAAGCCTTTTATTGTTTCTAATATTGTTGATTTTAGCATACAACTCATGAAAACCCAAAATTCCTATCTAAAAAACATAAGCATATCATGAGAAGGTTCTCTAAACGAGCTATTAACCTAATCTTCTGAGTCAACTAATTAACTCTAAACACGTGCAAAAGTCTCCTGAGGCTTTTAAAAACTCCCAGCCTGGTTCATTACTCAAAACCGCAATCATGGGTAACCCCAAGATTCCACTACCTCTGCTCCGCTCCGCCCCCGCCTTCCACAGCCACTCGCTTCCGAACTCAATTTTTACTGGTACCCGCTCTACAATGGCTCCGCTCCGGTGCGGAGACCTGAGGTGCGCAAACAGGCATGCACGGGATTTTCGAGATCTTGCGATACAGTCCGAGCAATGAATGCGGAAGTTAGATCCAAACACCCGTTGTGTAGGAGAAGCATCGAAATGAACCGTTTAATCTGCCTATCATTTGTGTTGAGAGATCAGCAGTGTTTGGATCAACAAAGGGTGACTACTTTGATAGTGGAAACTGTATTTGTGGCTTATTTTTGTGCATTTAAAGTTCAGCCGCCATTGATAGTTGTTAAAAGTTGTTAAACCTGTGCATATGAAACAAAAAAATGCTTTTTGTTTATCGATTTATTGTGAAAAAACGAAAGCTGTGCTTGCTCCCTTTCCTGTTGGGCAGTTGTGATTTCTGTCCATTGACTGCGGAGGTGCTCCGGCGTCCGGCAAAAATAGAATTGATCCTATTTTTGCCGAATGGCGGGCGGCGCACTGCGCCGCACGGCCACAGTAGTGAAACAGCTTTGATTGACTACAACGGGACCGATTTTGCTGCGGAGTTCGTGCCGGAACGGAGTGCAGCGGAGCGGAGGTAGTGGAATTTTGGGGTTAGACTGCCGACTTGACTGCTGTCCAGAAGGCCATCATTGACACCCTCAAGGAAGAGGGTAAGACACAGAAAGAAATGTCTGAACGAATAGGCTGTTCCCAGAGTGCTGTATCAAGGCACCTCACTGGGAAGTCTGTGGGAAGGAAAAAGTGTGGCACAAAACGCTGCACAACGAGAAGAGGTGACCGGACCCTGAGGAAGACTGTAGAGAAGGACCGATTCCAGATCTTGGGGGACCTGCGGAAGCAGTGGACTGAGTCTGGAGTAGAAACATCCAGAGCCACCGTGTACAGGCGTGTGCAGGAAATAATCTACAGGTGCCGCATTCCCCAGGTCAAGCCACTTTTGAACCAGAAACAGCGGCAGAAGCGCCTGACCTGGGCTACAGAGAAGCAGCACTGGACTGTTGCTCAGTGGTCCAAAGTACTTTTTTTGGATGAAAGCAAATTTTGCATGTCATTCGGAAATCAAGGTACCAGAGTCTGGAGGAAGACTAGGCAGAGGGAAATGCCAAAATGCCTGAAGTCCAGTGTCAAGTACCTACAGTCAGTGATGGTCTGGGGTGCCAAGTCAGCTGCTGGTGTTGGTCCACTGTGTTTTATCAAGGGCAGGGTCAATGCAGCTAGCTATCAGGAGATTTTGGAGCACTTCATGCTTCCATCTGCTGGAAAGCTTTATGCAGATGAAGATTTCATTTTTCAGCACGACCTGGCACCTGCTCACAGTGCCAAAACCACTGGTAAATGATTTACTGACCATAGTATTACTGTGCTCAACTGGCCTGCCAACTCTCCTGACCTGAACCCCATAGAGAATCTGTGGGATATTGTGAAGAGAAAGTTGAGAGACACAAGACCCAACACTCTGGATGAGCTTAAGGCCGCTATCGAAGCATCCTGGGCCTCCATAACACCTCAGCAGTGCCACAGGCTGATTGCCTCCATGCCACGCCGCATTGAAGCAGTCATTTCTGCAAAAGGATTCCCGACCAAGTATTGAGTGCATAACTGAACATAATTATTTGAAGAGTGACTTTTTTGTATTAAAAACACTTTTCTTTTATTGGTCGGATGAAATATGCGAATTTTTTGAGATGGAAATTTTGGGTTTTTATGAGCTGTATGCCAAAATCATCAATATTAGAACCAATAAAAGGCTTGAACTACTTCAGTTGTGTGTAACGAATCTAATTTATCTGAAAGTCTAATGTTTATCAGAACATTACATAAAATAATGAACTTCATCACAATATGCTAATTTTTTGAGAATGACTTGTATATACATATGCATTTGTGTTAGTCTCAGGTTGATTTACATAATCAAACTACCTAGGGTTTGATTACACTACAAACTAAAGAAATAATTACTTATGCTGAACTCTCTGTCTTTCTCGCCCCCTCTGTGTGTGTGTGTGTGTGTGTGTGTGTGTGTGTGTGTGTGTGTGTGTGTGTGTGTGTGTGTGTGTGTGTGTGTGTTGGTGGTGGTGGTCAGAGGGGCCGACGGCGCCAAATGGCAGCCTCGCCTCTGTCAGACCGCCCCAGGGCGGCTTATACCATCACTAGCAGTGTGTGAATGTGAGAGTGCATGAAAGCGTCTTTGAGTGTCCTCAACAAGCGCTTTATAAGTTTGATGATGATGATTATTATCTGTGTGTGTGTGTACGCACATGCATGAAGGAAAACATTTGACAGGACATGAGATAAAAGGTCTTAGAGCCTTCTTGTAACTATCACATAGCAGTTATAATCAAATGGTTAGTGGATGTTAGTGTTAAAGTAGTCTCATCTCTTTCCAAATGTATGTAAATTGACACACTGGTGGTGGAATGTGGCACCTTATAGATAGGATTTATTAAGAAGCAGTTTCATAATCACTTACTAAAGCTTCTTAGGTGTGTTCTTGCTGTGTCTTTGTAAATCCATGCTTTCGTTCTTTTTTAAACACAGAAACAGTTTTGTTTACCTGTTTGTAGCTACGGTTTCGCCGACAGCTGCCGGCTTCTTCAGGCTGACGCTGATGGTGGCGCGTCACTTCCTTCTCCGTTTATCTGTAGAGGGCGACAACGTCCTCTGCTGCCCGCAGATAAACGGAGAAGGAAGTGACGCGCCACCATCAGCGTCAGCCTGAAGAAGCCGGCAGCTGTCGGCGAAACCGTAGCTACAAACAGGTAAACAAAACTGTTTCTGTGTTTAAAAAAGAACGAAAGCATGGACTTACTAAAGCTCTAGATATTGGGCCGCTCTGAAACTAATAATCACTTTTTAATTATTGTTGATGTAACAGGGAAAGAGATTAATTCCAAAAGAGGCCATAAATCAACACAGCTGTCTTACACTTAAACAGAAAAGCAAACACTTTTCTGAATTAGTTAGTTTCAAAGCTGCGACTAAGGGCCATTCATCAGGTTACCAAGCAGCAGGTGCTACCTGGCTGTACTTAAACACCATGACAACACGTTCAATAAAGCTTGTCACACATGACTTTTCATCTTGTGTGTGATTATGAACGTCATTGTTTATACACCTCTGCAATTACAGGTTCCGTCTAAAATAAATAACTTTCAACAACATAATACATTATAATGAAGTTTAGCCCAAGTGTAAAGTAGAGTGTAACTAAGCTACAGTGATTTTATTTTTATCCTCAAATAGTTTCATAAATTTACTAGAAATTCAGTTGTGTGCCGTG